GAACCGCAGGATGGAAATGACGAGACCGGACAAGATGTAAAAGAAAAAAGCAACTATTCGCCTGTATTCTTTACTTGGTACTTTCTCATCTCATATTATAGTCATATTCTTTCCACTTATTTGTATTACAAATATATTTTCTAAATTCAAAAAATATCTTGTATTTATGAAAAGGGGTGTTTGTGTGTGTGTGTGTGTATGTATGTATGTATGTATGTATGTATGTATGTATGTATGTGTGTATGTAGTATGTATGTATATAAATACATATATTATCTATTTTGATAAGAATATACATACAAATTGAATTACTGATGTTATATAATTTATCGTCTCTATTTTATACTTTATAATTATATTCTTGATTTTTAATAATATCTCGATGTTTAAAAATATATGTATAATCACACAGTCTTACTCATAATGTAAATGTAAGAAATAAATAATAGAGATATTTTTGGAATTGAAACGCTTGAAGTTATGATTTATTTCACCTTGTTCCTGATTATTCCTAATTATATTGCATTACTTTGTCAATTTTCCAGACTTTTGATTTTCGCGAAAGCCGGATTTGAAAGCCCGAATTCTTAGAAATCCGAGAAATTCTTGGAAATGTAAAATATTCTTGACAATTGAGAAAATTCTTAGAAACTGACAAAATTCTTTATGTTGATAAAGTGCTTAAATTTGACAAATTCTTTATGTTGATAAAATTCTTAAATTTGATAAATTTTTTATATTGATAAAATTTTCGGCAACTGACCAATCGCATTGGTAAGATATATTTATATAGGATATAGGATACCTTCGGAATATCTTCTGGACGTCTTTTTGATATGCATGCTATGTGGGTAAGCACAAAGATAGATAGATAGATAGATATGACTTTTGGCTACGGTCAACGTGACGCTACAAATGGTTTGAAGCATTTCTCTTCTCTTTTCTTTCAATGAAGAAAGAAAGAGAAGAAGAACGCTCCAAAGCATTTGTAGCGTCACGTTGACCGTAGCCTTTATTGCTTGTCCCCGCAGGGTTTGCAAGGCGTTCTTAAGGAACGGTCCCAAACCTTTACAGTCATCTTATCGCTTGTCCACATACAAAAACTTTACACATCTGGCGTTTTTTTCAGGGACGTACCCAACCCTTTACAAAAACAGCTCCCCTTATACCTGACCTGGCCGCTTGCGACCCTTTACATTCTAGTACCCCCCACCCTTTTGGACTCTGCCTCTCCTTTTCTTCCTCCTGGCCGCTTCTTCTGTTGAACTTTCTTGGGACCCCCTCTTTCCGTTCCCCATGCTCTAACTCCTCCGCTCTCCGCCTCCTCCGTCTCTGAAACACAGGGATGATCTCCTCCCTTTCCCCCTCGCCGCCTTCTCCTTTCTCCCCTCCTCGACCCCAGCCATCCCTATACTGTTAAAAACAGAGGTCCTGTGTGTTAAAAAAAGTCCGTGTTAAAATTTTTGTGTAAAATAATCAACACATACGTGTGTAGATTTAACATATGCCTGGCTATGTTAATTGAATTTTACAAATTTAAAATGTAAAATAATTAAAATAACTTAAAAAATATGTTAAATTAACACAATTTGAACGTATTTATTAAATGTGTTAAAATTTACAGAAAAAAAATGTTGATTTTACTCTATAAAAGAAGTAGGAATAAAAATTTACAGAAATAGAGTGTTGATTTTATCTTACAATCTCAACTTCAACATAAAAGTTATGTTAATTGTACACATAATTAACTTCAAATTACGATCAGAATTACATTTCCTTTCTGTTGAAATATTTTAACATAATATCAGTGTTACCACTTAACACATCCATATTATGTTAAAATTAACACAAAAATTTGAGTGGACCGTTTTGGACATGTGATTTATGTTATATTTAACACAAATTTTCCAACAGTACCCTTATTTTCCTTCCCATTTCCCTTCGTCATCGTTCCACACAATCTTCTTCCCATCCACCCATAATCTCCTGTTTTCCACCCGCGTTCTTCTTCCCTTGTCTCTTTTTTCTCTTGCCTTCTCCAGCAACCTCCACCTCGTCTTTCTCTCCTCTATGGAGAGATTCTCGTCCACCCCTATCCCCCACCTTTGCCTAATTACTCCATACCTCTCCAACAACTCCGCTCTCTCCTTTTCATCCTCCAACTCCACTATCAGTACCTCTCTCCTTCCCTCTCCACGGGTAAGCACAAGGACATGTACGCACATTTGTATATAAGGAAATGCTTAGCAATTTGACTGCCTGTTCTTTGTCTGTACGTACCGGTTGTGGATTGACTCGCAGTTATAACGGTCCTAAAACAATTTTGACTTTTGTAGCTTAAGTCGCCGAGAAATTCAGGAATCATGTATCGGCTCTTTGTGACAATGACGGTAATCACGGTAATCAACTTTGCGTCAATCAATGCGGAGGTGTATAGGTGAGTACATGTTATATACTGTTGCGCCCGCGCTGAGACACCCGTTACGCGTTGAACTTCACTCACGAGAAGTCTAAACTTCGCTCCGCGGAAGCTTCAAGTCGAAGCGCGTCCCTTGACAACGGGACACTTATAATTTATTGATTTATCTCCACCTGTCAGATTTATCTGAGGACTCGAACCGTTCGGACCTGTTCTCCAGACCTTTTTATGTATAATTGTTCTGAACCTGAATAAATCCGAGATCCTTTTTTTTAAAAGAGTGCTTCTTTCTTTCGCAAATCCGGGAGTGCGCGGCGCGAACGCGAGTGCTTAAAGCGGGGCGCAGCGCAACAATACAAACGATCCACATTTATATCGACACGATAAATTATAATACCGTATAGAGATCGCGCTTCCAACTACTTAGAATTGCCGCAGAATTCTCGATAAATAATTATCAAATTAATTTCAAATACCATAATTGTATCAAATCTGTAATAAAAACGCATTTTGAAAGTCGGAATAAAGTGAGCAAACTAATTACAAGAGATGCTTTCAGGATTTCTTCAAAAATCTTATTTTAAACAAGATTAGCATCATGAAAAGAGGAATTTGCATTTAAAATACCTAATTACATTCTAATGCGTAAATATATGCAGGTAGCATTTATTTCTCAATGACAAAATGTTGATGCTTTAATAGTTTTTAAATAAGAATTGCTTGAAAATGATCAAATAAATTGTTTGAAATTCGTATTTATGCTGTACGATATATGTACATACATACGCATATAATATAACGGAATTTTTTTTATGTTGCTTCAAGAATTCCGTTATACAAGACATACACATCCGTTGAAACATCTTTGACGGAGACTATTAGACACCTCAGACACCGACGTTCGGGGTCGGGCCGGACGGATATAACTCTGATTTACAAAGATCTACAGTACTACGGTACTATCGAAATTGGAACTCCACCGCAGGAGTTTAAAATACTTTTCGACACTAGTTCCTCAGATCTCTGGGTGCCATCCAAAGACTGCGACGTTAGCCAACCTGCTTGCTGTAAGTATATCATAACATCGCTACCTCCCCGACATTCTATTATTCCTATATGTACATTTGTATTTAAAAAATTAATGTTTCAAGTATTAAAATAATCTTAATAATTTTTTTCTCGTTTAATTATTGATATCAAGTAAAAATATAAGATAAGAATAATGCTGTAAAATTGTATCTAAATATTCTATTTACATTTGAAGTAAAGTTATAAAACCTTTAAAGCAACCGTTTCAAAGATTCAGTGGTAAGGTAAATATTATGTAGCTAAGTTCTATACTCTTACACATACCCTCTTATTTACATTATTTATCACACTTACTTTAAAGATACAAATAATTTCTTATACAAAACAGCTCACACGTTAAAGTAAAAAATATAAACATAAATATATTTGATGATTTAACTACTGTTATTTATATATTTAGATTAATATATAGAGAAATTTATATTTCTAGATTTTTCAATATTAACTGATTTAATTTTATTTACTACTTTTTGCAGTAAAACATAATAAATATGATAATACAAAGTCCAACACATACGTCGAAGACGGAGTTACATTTGATAGACCTTACCACGATGGCAGAGTGTACGGAAACTTATCTATTGATAACGTAAGGGTAAGTCATCGTCAAGTAAATGATATATTTAATTCTAATCACAGTCATAATCTATGAAAATTTTCCAAAAAGCACATCACATGTTACTATTATTCTAAAAAAAAAAAAAAAAAAAAAAAAAACGCGCGCAATTATACTTTATTAATAATATTAACGTTTTGTAGATTGGTGGCCTTAATGTTACATCACAGATGTTCGGAGAGGTATTCAAATTTACGACAAGTTTTTGGGACAATGTACAATGCGACGGCGTTCTGGGGATGAGTTATGGAGAGGATTCTGTCTTCCAAAACATGATTGATCAACACGTGGTGTCCCAACCAATTTTTAGCGTTTATCTAAATCGGTATGTATCTTTCCGTATGCCTCACGTGTGTTTAATACTATTTTTTAAATTACATACTTTGTCTTTCTATGCAATGTAAAAAATATACAACCTATATAGAAATTACGAGGACTCACATTTCGGCGGTAAACTGCTATTGGGTGCAACCAATCCTTCCCATTATGTGAACGAGTTTAAGTATGTGAATGTTAATACTCAAAAAAGATACTGGCAATTTGAAATAAATAGGTATGTAGTTTTTTTTTCTAAATTAGACGTATGTTAACCGCGGATTATATGTCAGCTAATTGGTAATGCTATCCCACTGTAGGATTGAAGTAAAAAATTTCGGCTTATGCGCGGAAGGCTGTCAAGCTATCGTCAACATGGGCTTTTCTAAGATAGGAGGACCACCGCGGGATATCGCAACTATTCAGGAACAGATTGGTGTTGTCGATCGGGTAATTGGATAAAGAATTTTACTTTATATACCCCAAGGGGCCTTAAAGGGCGTTTTGAAAGGACGTACCCAATCCTAACCTCCAATTCATCCACTACCTTATTGTTTCCTCCTTTGGACCAACGGTTTAACGTCTCTTCCGAAAGACGGAGCCCAGTTTTCTCCGCATCTGCACGGAGGGGCGCGGTTTTTTCGGAAAAAAACTTTTCCATGATTCATGGCTCTAGTGGACTCGAACCTGGTTCCTCAGATTACGAGTCTGGCGCTCTACCACTAGGCAACACCGCCGCCCTTCGATTGGGTAATTGATTATTTCTTTCTGCAATGGTAGCTTTCAACCACCTTAAATGAATTATTGAAATAAATTAATAAATGTTTGATAAGCTACGGATTGTTAATATGGATTACTAATATTGACCTTCGTTTAAAGGTGGACTGCAACGAGATTTCTAATTTGCCCCCTATCAATTTCGTCATAGGTGGTAAGAAGTTTCGACTCACTGGTAAAGATTATATCGTGAAGGTAAAGAATATTATTATATAAACTTTTAAATTGTTTTTAGAATAGAAATATCATATTATGCCATATTTAATGTTTCATAGGTCACAGAAGGCCTTTGCATTCTCGCCTTCGAAGATAATCCGTTTAATATTAATGGTATAAAATGGATTTTGGGCGATGTATTTATTCGTCGCTACTACACCGTGTTTGACATGGGAAACAACCGACTGGGATTCGCCCTTGCAAGACATTAAATCTTGTTTGCCTTCTCATGAAGTTATCATTAAATATTAAGAAATCTAAATGACATTACTAAACAAATAAGTCATAGTTTTTTTAGAATATCGACCGATATATGGTCTGTAATTTTATTTGGACTAATTATATGGTATATTTTTAAATTAATACGTATGTGAGAATTAGAAGAAAGATATGCGATACTTATTCTACCAACAATTTGGTACATCTTGTTCTTTCGGAAACTATCGAATTGTTAGATATTGTGAATACAACTTGTATATAAGTCTATTAAAATAAAGTATATATTTTTTACACTGAATATTGATTGTATATATCGCCCTTTCAATCTCATCTTAATGTAGTATCCCGAAAAATATTATCTGGTTTAATCTTATAAATTTTCCGCTTACATACGAGTACGAGATATCATATAACATTCTGCTTATATGTATAAGAGTCTGACATACCGCATTTGTAAACAAAATATATATAACTTTTTACATTTCTTATGCTTACACAAACGTATATACGCATAAATCTTTTGCTTATTAATAAAAATTATCCAAAATTTTCGACACATAAATACCAAATTGTCGATACAAAAATTATCATGTCGTATGTATTCTAATTAATAAATTGTTATAATATTGCATAACTGGTTTAGGTATCTCACTATCGTTAACATTATAAACTTATACTTTAAAATTGTTATTTTTAGAATTTTGCATATTGTGTTGACTACTGCTAGTGTTAAATAAAACATGATACACAAAGAAAGATTATCGAGTAATTTTGATACATGATGTGTAACAACGATAAAATTTTCTTGCAATATACGTTTGCAAAAATTTTATATAATTACGAACCAATGTCCCCGCAATATTAGGAGAAAATATAAGACTATATAAATAATAGCAGCTAAACATCTTGTATTATGCAAATTATGCAACAATTTATTATATTTTTCAAGAGATCGGTAAAAGAAAGGTTTCGAGCAAATCCTACGTAAAATTAATTTCTTAATTCCAAGCTAACATTTTTGAAATTTTATCTATCTCGAAATGTTATTCTAGCTTTTTGTTTTTTATACTCTTTTTGATCGTTCTAAAATCTGACGAGACCGACCAACTACTATTTCCAATATGAAGACTATAGTGGTGCAAGTGTATCCAGATTAAATTAGTGAAAAGAGCTATTGGGCTGTTAGAAGCTTAATGTTTATAGAACTTTTAAAACTCTTTATCCGCTTTATCGCTCTCCTTTTCACCTTCTAATAAAAACAAGAACGTAAACACGTACTTGTATATAAGCAGCGTTCGGAACGATGCCAGACTAGAGTCAAGCTCAACAAGGTCTTCTTTCCCCGCTAATTTTTCCAAGCCCGTTCCTTTGGCAGTGGTTTCGCTAGATAGTAGATAGGGACAGTGGGAATCTCATTAATCCATTCATGCGCGTTACTAATTAGATGACGCATTTGGCTACTGTAATGAGAGTCATAGATACGACCGCACCGGGGGGTCTGGGGGGGGGCGATTAGCCCCCCAGAATCTTTCTCGTGGTCGGAGTGCGACTGAACGTTATCAGTACTTCCCTGCACAGCAGTAACGGAATCCGCCACCGTGGATTTGCCCATATTACAGAGATACATACCCTTCGGATTACATACTCCCGGTATAGGCGACACCTCTGGCCACTGGTAGACACGGTTTCCCGTAACGCACTTATGACTCACTATTGTACCTGAGCTGTTCCCCAGGTAACAGGGTTTAATCCTGCAGCGAGCGTGATCTACTCGGATTAGATCAGCTCAAACTGACAGGACCGGGGTGCCAAAGCACCCTTCTTACAGGTAATGCGCAACAGCTTCATGCCGTAACAGCCCAATGAGCTTCATAGCGCTGACCCACACTAGGCCCTCCATGCCGCTCATTCGGCTATGCGAACCACCGCCCCTACGAGTCCAACACCATCTGGTAGGGCACCGGTAGCCTCCCGGCGGGGCTCTCTACCCCCGTAGTACTCGCATCGAGCGATCTTAGCTCACGTTTGACGAGTCGCCGTCGCTGGTGCCGTGTCACCAGCTCCCACGTAACGCACAAGTCACCCCGTACTGTTAACGTGTCGCTCATCGGTTGCCCGGGGATCCGGGATTCGGTAGCAGTCGACGCGTCTTAGGGATATACGGCACGTGGTGGGCCATATACTCCGCTCGTATTAGGCATCTCCCACGCACGAGCACGCCGCGTTCGCCTCGCGAAACGCTACCCTGTTCAGTACTACTGGCTGCATCCGTTACCCAGCGCACGTCCAAGGATTGGGCAGCAGCCCAGCAGTTTTATGGGTAAAAGGTGCACCGTTTACCCGCGCTTGCTTGAATTTCTTCACGTTGACATTCAGAGCACTGGGCAGAAATCACACGATAGTAATCGACTACACTCTCTCTCTAATGCGCGTATCGGTTTTGGGGTCAATCGATAGGAAATGACAATAAAATCTTTTTAACTTTTGTAACTTTAATCGCCAAGAAATTCAAGAAATATGTATCGACTCTTCGTGGCAATCGTGGTACTCAACTTCGTATTAATCAATGCGAAGTTACATAGGTGAGTACATATTATGTACAAACATTGCACATTTATATCGACGTTCGCGTGATAAATACTGTATAAAGATCGCGCTTCTCCAACTTCTTGGAATCGACGCAGAATTCGCGATAAATACTTCAATAAATACGATAATTGTACACCAAATATGTAGAAGAAACGCATTTTTAAAGTCCCAATAAAGTGAGCAGACTAAGAGATGCTTTAAGGATCCCTTTGAAGCTCTTATCTTAAGTGAAATCAGCGTTGTGTACAGAGCAATTTGCATTTAAAGTACCTAAATTACATTCTAATGCGTAAATATATAAATGCTGGTAACATTTAATTCTTAATACCAAAATGTAGCTTTAATAGTTTTTAAATAAGAAGTGCTTGAAAATGATCTAATAAATTATTCGAAATTCGTAATTATGTTGTATGATATTTGTACATTCTTGTTTATATGATACATATATGCGTATAACATAATGGAATATTCTTTATGTTGTTTCAAGAATTCCGTTATACAGGACATACATGCACCGTTGGAAAATCTTCGACGGACAATAATATGATACAGCTCCGTTTAGCTACGGTTACTGTACCTCTGACTAATTATAAGAATGTTCAATACTATGGTATTATCGAAATTGGAACTCCACCGCAGATGTTTAGAATACTTTTCGACACTGGTTCCTCAGATCTTTGGGTGCCATCCGAAGACTGCATCCTGCTTAGCCAACCTGCTTGCTGTAAGTATATCATAACATCGCTATCTCTTCGATATTCTATTATTTATACATGTACATTTGTATTAAAATATATTATTGTTTTAAATATTAAAATAATTTTAATTATTTTTTTCTCGTTTAATGATTGATATCAAGTAAAAATATAAGAATAATGCTGTAGATTTGTGTTTTTTCCATTTGCATTTTAAGTAAAGTTATAAAATTTTTAAGGCAACTGTTTCACAAAAGTGAAACGTGGTAAAGTAAATATTGTGTAGCTAAGGTTTACAATTATATATACTCTCTTACTTATATTATTTATCATTTACCTAAAAAATACAAATATTTTTTGATACAAAACAGCTCATGTTCTAAACCAAAAAGTATAAACATAAATACATTTGATGATTTAAACTACTGTTAGTTATATACTTAGATTAACCCTAGAGAGTCTTTATGAATTTTCTCATACGTAAAAGGCCAAGCGGGGTAATAAATTACCACAAACTTGTACCGCGTGTATAATGTTTCTATTTGTTGTTAGAAAACTTTGTAATAGATAATTTTGTTCGCTCTTTAATAGAGAAGACGATAGTAGTCATCAGTTTGTGGTAGTAAAAAAAAAACAATAAAAAAATTTCGAAAAACAAAACAAAGAACCAAAAATTTAGCTGAAATGATGCGAATTTGAATTTTGCGTGGGGTAACGTATTACCCCGCAAAGACTCTCTAGGGTTAATAAAGGGAAATTTTTATATTTTTAGACTTTTCAATATTAACTAATTTAATTATATTTATTACTTTTTGCAGTGAATCATAATAAGTATGATCATACAAAGTCCACCACATATATATCACAGAATAATCCATTTCTTCTTAATTACGGAGATGGCCGTGTGTTTGGGTCCTTGTCTACCGATGTAGTAATCGTAAGTCATCGTCAAGTAAATTGTTCGACTTAATTCTAATTATAGTCATAATCTATGAAAGTTTTCTAAAGGCCATTGCACGTAATAAAGTTTTAGTCATAACCGTAAGGCCGTAAGAAAATAGACCAATCACAGTCGATTATTCTCCTTGAGCACGAAGAATAATCGAGTGTGATTGGTTTATTTTCTTACGACCTTACGATTATGACTAAAACTTTGTTACGTGCAATGGCCTTAAGGAACACATGTTGCTATTATTCTCCGAAAAAAAAAAACATACGCGATTATATTTTATTAATATCAACATTTCGTAGGTTGCTGGCCTTAAGGTTGTATTCCAAACATTCGGAGAAACGACGGACTATTTGGACGCAAGATCCCTCTCCAATTCAAAATTCGACGGTGTCTTGGGAATGGGTTGCCCCTCGTTAACTGGCTTTTGAAAGATTTTTGGCTTTAACAACCTACCTGTCTTTAACAACCTACTCGAACAACACAATTAAGAGTTTTGACACGTTTTTAGTTTCTATCTAAATCGGTATGTATCTCTCCGTATGTCTCACGTGTGTTTAAAATTATTTTTTTAATTATATACTTTGTCTTTCCATGCAATGCAAAATGCAAATGTACAATACAAAATTACACAACCCGTACAGAGATTTTTCGTCCGCGATGGGTGGTGAACTGATACTGGGTGGCTCCAATTCCGCTCATTACGAGAGCGAGTTTACGTATGTTAATGTTACTAAAAAAAGATACTGGCAATTTACCA